GAGCACCGCCCTTCTTGACATTCAGATCGGTGGTGGAGCCGCAGCTTCGGGATGCCATCATGGACATGGACAGTCACCGATTGGACCCATGGACGCGATGGCTCGTGAAGGAGCACGACCTGAGGCATCCTGATACAAGGGCAATGTTGTTATTTCTTCTCCATATGGCCCACTACGACAACGTTGCGATTGAAAAGAACCAGTCTTGGATTCGGAGAGTGTTGTCGGCTAGGTCATGCGAAACCCACCCAATGTCCTTTCACGACGCGAATGCTCTCTGGGTTATGCATCATTTACGACGGGAACTGGAAGCACATGACAGAGCACGCCAATCCACTACCTACACTGGGCACGGTGGAGCGGCATCTGACCTTGACGACGCAGCGGAGGTTGGCCGACGTCAGATACAGCGTGGCGGCGGTGGAGCGTGGCGAGCTTTTTGTTCCGAGTGCATGAGGGCTGGGGAGTTCGACTTCACCGCGATCGCGGCGAAGTACACGCCTGAGGTAAAGCGACGGCTGCGACAATCAGGAAAGGAGGCTACTCAAGCCCACAGGGAAGGGACGCCTCGATCGTTCGGTCCAACTGCCAAGGAGATCCGGAAGAGCCGCGCTAGCATTCGAGATGAGATTCGAGCCCTCGATCAACAACGTGATGCTGAGATGGTTCAAGATCGTGATGATGATCGCGACCATGGTCTCGGCATGAGTTCTTCTACTATTGGCTTGGCGGTGCAATCCATGGGGTCTCGCATGGGGGACGTCTGCAGCTTGGAGCACGTGGGCCCGAAAACTACACGTTCGTCGAGGCGTCGGGATGAGGCGCAGGAGAGACAGAAGAACAAGGAGGAGCTGGTCAAATTCAGGGAGCGCATTGGCAATGCAGAGCGGAATGCCACCTGCACGGCGTCGCAGACATTGCAGCCACACCGAGGAGATCTCACGCCAATGCCGAGCAGCACGACAGTTCCATGGTTTATGTACTTGGGCACCCCAGACAAGCAGGCGCTTGCCATTGTCGACAAGAGCTTCAACTCTACATATTCGAGGAAGGGTCTGGGTGCAATTCTGGATGCATATCACAATTGGATGTGTAAGCCTGCTGGTCCAATCTCTTCCGATCGCATCGGAGAAGGAGCCCAGCGGGAAGTGCACGTGGGACCACTGCTTCTGCACGCCATCTGGGAAACGATTGTATAGCCGTCGCAATGCTTTCCTCCGTTTCTTGAAAGGGCAGACACCTCGTGATACGTCTTGGCGCAACTTGCTCTTGACAGGCATGCTGGTTGTCAGAATCAGGAGCTTGCCACTGCAGCCTTTCTTCCCGCCAGACAGCGACGAGTCCGATTACGACGTGGCCATGGAGAATGCGATAGCGATGGAGGAGGATGTATCTTTTTGGCATCTCAGTTACACTACGTTGTCACCGTACGACGTCATGCTGCAAGAGATGACCTGCGATGATATGCACACGCCTTTCTTGAATGACGTCACTGTGGAGGTGCATGGGACGAACAACCATCTCGAACTTTACGATTGGTGTTACACTCTGCGAGAAGATAGATCACATGACGCTATGCTGTACAAGCTCGTGAACAATCACGAGCCTATCTTGAAGGAGCATTTCGTACCTAAGAAGCAGATCATCGAACCGTTGCGACGTGGAGGAGACGATGACGGGGAGCTTCGATTCTGGAAGGGGTTTGGACCTCGACCTCGAAAAAGACGTGGGCGGGGTCGTGGAGGGCGCCACGGACGCGGACGAGGTAGGGATGCAGCTCGAGGCCGAGGTGGCCGAGGCCGTGGGCGAGGACATGCGGGAAGGGGTGCTGACGAGGACCTTGAGTAGAGCGGGGAAGGGGGTTGCTCGTTCGAAGCCCCCCCCCTCGGGAACGGGTCACGGTGGAGGAATGTTATTGGATGGGGGGGCAGGTTGTTTTTTTGGGAGGGCGGCGGTTTTGGGCGGGCCCGAGGTGCCCCCGAGCATTGGGTTTTAGGGCGCCGAGATCCCCAAACACCAATGTGTGGAAAAGGTTTGATGATCCCCACCAGTGCGATGGTTTAGCTCTTCGTTGAAATATGCTTCTGGGTTGTTCTCGATTGGGTTTGATGTATCTTGCAACGTGGGCCCAATCAAATTCATGAGGGCCCGATGCGACTTCTACCGCGCCATGCGGGTGTGAGCTCCACAGCTCATTGAAATCAAGTCTCACAGTTAGGCCCATCACAAGGTTACATATGCGTAGGTCCCACTGGTCCCCTAGGGTCCCATCGGGTTCCACAGAAGGGTCCATAGGCTACACCAGCGCCCCTTTCTAGTACCTGCTCATGTGTTCTCCCTTCTCCTTTCGAATTCTCCAAGAGGAGTCGAGCGATCATGACGAGGGGCCGAGCCCCGACGCTGATGCTGGACACGGCGGTGATCCTGAACCTGCCGCCGATGATGGCGGAGAGGTATCAGAGGGACAGGGCAGCGAGCAGGCTGCCATGAGCGACGATGAGGTCAAGGCCGTGACGCTCGAAGAGGCGATCGACATTGCCTTGGGTGGTCACGACGAGGACGAGCCCCTTTGGGGCGACATGGCCTTCGACGACGTCGCCATGCACATCGGCATTCCTGAGGAACGACCTGATGATGCAGCTGGCGCCGACGTCGCTCCTCACGGAGAAGGAGATGGCTGTGATGACCTTCTTACTCCTGAGGAGATGCTTGAGGCTTTCGGTCATGGATTTGCAGCTGGCGTACCTCTGCCTGCTGAACCGCCTGATGTACCAGGCGCTGGCGCGGAGGCCCACGCTCCGCCGCCTGCCGATGACCCGCCACATCCTCCACCTCCTCCTCCACCTCCTCCTCCTCCTCCTCCTCCAGACTGGGTGTCACCTTTAGTGCACGGTGGGTCTCGGATCTTTTGGTTTCGAGGTAGTCGCATTTCTGCGCACTACAATGCACTGAGAATGAAAACTTTTGTTGAAGTCAAGTGCCCTAATAAAGCGCACGGGCGCTGTGTGCTCACTAAGGTGTTCGATCCGAGCAATCAGCTAGGTCGTGAAGGCCAGGGCCGTTGCCTTGGCGTCGTTGGGGCATTCATTCTTTCTGCGACTGAGGCAGGCGTTGATTCCAAAGTTGCGCATGTGGCGATGGTGCCTGTTTTTTCTCGTGCAAGGCGCCTGCTAGGACGCAGCGCATTGCGCGACGACGGAGGCCTGGTTGGGCTGTTTGAATGCGAGCGGCCACGGCACACAGGTGAGGAGTCGGAGCCTGAGTTTGTGCCCCACTGAGACACGCAAAGCTGGTGCAAATCCTGAGCATTCGAATTCTAGGTCTTCAGTGTTTCGTCCTAGTTTTCCTTTTCGTCATCCTCCCACTCCCCCTTGCGCTGGCAATACCCCTCGTCTGATCCTCGCCCCTGCTTCGAGCTCCATTCCTCATCCAGTTCTGATGTTGCCATGGGCAATAGTGCGAGGCCCCAGGTGTCACAGCATGGTTCGACGTTGGACCCGCTAGGCCAATTATACTACGATAGCACAGTGGATGTCGTTAATCCCTGAAGAGCCTCAGGAGGCCCCAAGAGGGCTCCAGGAGGCCTCCACCCCAATTTTGACATTATCGAAAGACCCCTGGGGCCCAATCGACCGCGAGGCAGGGTAGGGCCAGCCACGTCTCAGAAACCACCTCTGGGATCTCCAGGCGCTCTGCGCCAGACTCTGAAACCACCTCTTGAGGCATCGGCCGCTTTCGATTCACTTTCTGTGGGTTCCTGAATCTCGCTCTGGTGGTCAACCAGAGCAACCGCAGATGGCCACGATTCGCTCTTGAACCTCCTCTTGTGCGTGAATCACCTAAACGGACATTTTTCAAAAGTACTCTCGTTCATTGTCTCGAACCTGAATCACCTCGCGGTACAATTTTCAAAAGTCCTCTCGTAGTCGTTAAATACCAATGAATCAGCGCTCGGGAAGTTTTTTGTCTCACCTCTTGAATCACCTCTCGGTCAAGGCCCCAGGTTCCGAGTCCGCTCTTGAACCTCCTCAGGTTCTGAAACCAATGTTTTCCAAACTCCCGAGGGACCTACAGGAAACCAAGACACCGCGGCTGAGAGAGAGCTGGAGAGGTTCAAAGTCCTCTCGGAGACCTTCGGGGAGGCAGCGCGCGAGACGCCCAATGTCTCGGAGGCGTCCAACGCGCCGCGCCGACCCCACGCGGTCGGTCTCAGAGCGTGGGTCCCCGTCCGTCAAGCGTCTGGCCGCGTGCTCTAAGTACCCCCCCCCCCCCCCCCACACACACACAGTCTTTCAAGGGGCATCCGAAAAACCGACCGCCAGGTGGAGGAGGAAGGAGGATGTGGAAGCGAGGCTCGGCCGCGTGCCCTAAATCCCCCCCCCCCCTCCGTTCGTTCAGGGCGCAAGTGTTTTGAGATATCGGGAACTTGCATCGGGTGGGGGGAGAGGCCCACGCAGCTGCGGGCGAAGTAGTGGTTGGTAGGCCATGGGGTCCTGCAAACATGAGCTGAAGAAATAACATAACGCCCAAACCAAACCCTACGTAACCATAACATCCCCAGGGCCCAATCCATATTGGCCCAAGACGCCCTATTGTGATCCACATGCGTCCTTTCATGAGGTCTCTTTGGGGCCCCATGGGGTTCCACTCGCTAGTTGAAAAAAGCCTCATGGCATCTTCAGGTCACTGGGGCCCCAGACGAGCAATCTTATTGAAGGGCCAAAGGTCAAACACTCAATTGGCTCCAGGAGGGCACGTGCCACCCTGGGTGACCCGATCCAACCATGCGCTGAAACGTTGGATCCTCGTATTCCTGTGTGACTGATCTGGCACAGATTTGATTGGCCCAAGTAGTGTATCACCAGGGTGTTGGGGAACACCTTGTGGATATCCAAGTTTCTCGGCCGACCATGAAGGGCACTCCTCCTAGTCACAGTCGGCGCATCGGGGAGACCTTCAACTGCAAGTGGGGGACGGTCCGATCTTCTGGTAGGCGAGCCATGCTATCGTGCACAACTGTCATCGTGATCGACGACAGCGACGACGGCTATATCGCATCCGACAAGTCCGCCTGCCCCAAGGAGAACGTCGACCCGTGGGATATCCCAGATCCAGAGAAAGTCGTGACGCCGCCCAAGCCGAAGCCTCCTGGCTGGATTCCAAATCAGGGCCGCTGTTGTCATGCAGATGATCCATCGGCAGAGTGAGCCGAAGGACCATGTGCGTGCCACCATCGGCCCTCTCGGCAACGTTACATAAAGCGACAGTGCGGAGTGTGGCTTCCCAAATTGAAGGGACGCAACTCCGCCAAGTAGATAGGTGCTGCAGCCTGACTGTTTGGTGTCGCGCTCTTGTGCGATGTACTCGCTGTTCGGGGGACGAAAATGCTTTCGAGGGCGTGCCGTTTCACATCTGGGGGATGGGGGTGGGGCTGGTAGAGCCACTGGAAACCTTCATAGAATCTAAGCGCGTGTAGTCTACCTCACTGCATCCCTCCTCTCTGTTGGGGTCCCCAAGCGTTCGTCTTTCGGACAATTCCAGTGTCTGCGAGGGAAGGGGGGCATGGGTAGCAGTCCGACGTGTCCTGGGGTGCCCAAGAAGCTGACAACAAGTATACCCTGGGTTCCTTTTTGTTTTTTTTGGGGGGGCACCGACCCACTGCGTGGTGACGCTTTGATTTGGATCCGTTCCTCAGCTGATGTTGGCTCTGAGGCTTGAAGGCTTTATGATCGAGACTTCTGCCTAGCAAGGAGCCAAGACCACCTCGCGCTTTCCAACGATGGGTGGCAGGAAGGGGCAGAAGGAGCCCAAGGCGGACCAGAAAGCGCAAATCGATCAGCCTCAGCAACGGCCTCTCGGTGATCGCCTCTGCTTTTGCGCCAAGTGCCGCAATTGCTCCAAGGACATTGTTTTTGTAAACATCCCCGACCCCCAAACCTATCCATCCCCATCCATGCCAATCGCTGAACCCCCGTGACAACCCTTGGCTCAGGGAGGACCACGCATGTACATGTGCATACGCACGAATGTATACAGCACGCATCAAGCACTCTTGCAAGGTACGCGGCGAACAGTGTACATTCGCGCCCGCATAAATGTGACCTCAGGGCCTCCAGGACCCCTTGGATCTCAGGTTTTACTCAAGAGCTCTGGGAGGGAGCGAGGAGCTAGAAAAGAAGGGAACGACACAGTGAGAAGATAGGCCATGCTCAGACGCACGATGAGGCAATGAGAACTTTGAGAGGTGAGAGAGGCAGGGGGGAAGGAGGGTGGGTAGGAGAGGTGCGAGTTTATTTGTTAGATTCGATGCCAAATCTTACTTGAGCCAACGACAAGGGTCCGTACCGATGTGAACCCTAGGGGGGGGGGGCAGTTTGCTGGGGAGAGTATGTCCGACTCCCCAAGGACCGCCCCTTCAAGATCCAGTCTCTCGACCCGCGTGGGTCGCAGAATGCGTGCGAGGAGTGCTACACGCAGAAGGAGGTCCTCTTCCCATGGATGACCTGGCAGCAGTTCCTCGACTTGGGCAAGGAAGTGCCTGACTTCCACCATGTGTGCGATAAGGCTATGGAGGTGGCAGCTGGCAAAAGGAAGAGGGAGACGATGGAGCAGGACATCAGTAAGGCCGCCCACATCGGTTGCCGCATCGAGCAGGAGGCCGAGCTTGCGACCGAACAGGTGATCAAGAGGCGTTGCAGCGGGGTCACTCCGAAGTGCCTCGGGATGAACCCCGTGGAGCTCCTGGACAAGAACGGCATTGAGGTTGCGTCCGGTTACCCTGTGGCCGTCGAGGGGGCGCCGCAGAAGATCTACTTCTACACCGACATCGCCGTGAAGAGGGGTATTCCAGTGATGGATTCGCGTGAGAACGTGAACGACGTGCAGATCGCGCCGAACGTCAAGCGGGCCTTCGACATCGATGACTTCGGAGGCGGCAACATGCGAATGCCGAGTGGTTTGAAGACGTGGGACCAGCTTGAAATACGCAGCAGGACCATCAGGCAGAAGCGCGACGAGCTGACTAATAAGAGGTCTGCTGAGAAAGGCAAGCCAACTAAAAAAGGTGATGGTGACGACGCGAGCTTCATTGACGACGGTTCTGACTATGAAGGCATTGAAGGGTCTCCTGGAGCTGCTGCTTCGACCGCGGCTCCGCCGAGCACCCCTGGCTCCCAGCGGGATTCTTCTCGATTTGGTGATCAGCCGAAGTCCGTATCGAAGGCGTCCGCATCGGGTTCGAAAGACCGATTGCCGTCACCAAGTCCTCCTGCCCGTTGGGATGAACCTGGTGCGATCAAGGCCAGCGAGAAGGATGGCACTTTGAAGAAGACGGCTGGAGGCTACTACGTCAAAACCCCGAAGTACTGGATAAAAGTCCTCGACTTGGCGCAGGGCGCAGGTGGCAACACCATGTCCAAGGAGGTCGGCCAGGCCAAGCTTTGCCGCACAAGGGAGGGCAAAACCACGGATGCCGACAGGCTTGAGAAGCACATCGATTTGTTCAACGACAGCCTGAAGCTTTCACCATCGCAAGTCCATCTCATGTCCGACGACGCGCTGAGGATCCTGATCGAAAAGCTGGAGCAAGTCAGACCGCAACCAGTGTGGCTGCCCGAGACGAAGCAGGGTCTGACATTGAGGAAGTTCCAGTCTTTGTCTGACCTGACGCTGCGGCTCTCCTCAAACAGCGATCCCACGTGGACCGAGCTCGTCTGCGTACTCGACCCGATCGGCAACAACAAGAAACACACCTTCGATATGCTCAACCCGTCGTACCACGCGATCGTGAAGCAAGTTGGGAAGACGGCTTACTACGACTTCGCAAAGGAGGAGTACTTCGGCAAGGTCATCCTCAAGCTCCTGTGCATGAACAGCGCTGAGGGGGATCGTAGGCTCAGGGAGATGGGCGTCGAAGCGAAGAAGGTGTTCAGTTTGCCAGAGGACTTGCAGCTGGAGGACTGGGTGGTGGACTTCAGTATCCAGATGTCTCTTCTTCATGAGTGTGTGGACTTCCTCGTGGATCCGTACATTGTCGGTGCCGATGTCGAGGACCCGCGGAGCCTTCTTCAACAGATCCAGTCGTCAGCTGCTAACACTCAGGCCGACGACTTCTTCTCGATGATCGCGCCGTCGCTGGCCAATTGTCATCGCGTGCAGACCTTGCTTGCAGAATACGTCAAGCCGAACGCGAAGTACGACGAGTACTACCAGGAGGTGAAGGCCATGCTGAACAAGATGGAGCTCGCAGCGAAGAATGGTGAGCGCGAGACGCCTCCAGTGTTGACGAACGTCTGCGCCAAGCTGTTGGGCTGGGAGCAGTGCATGCCCAAGGGCTCCTGCAGTCGGGTCAGGGACTTGCTCTGGACGCAGGTGATGAGCACCTATCAGGCCCAGGCTGGCCACAGCGAGGAGTCGAGCCCAGAAGAGTCCAGGGAGATCACATCGGATCGCATGACTACGATCATTGAGCTGAAGGAGTTGCTTACAACTGCCAGGGAAGTGTTCGTTGATAAGGTCGAGCTGAGGGGCTACATCGAGAAGTTGAACCGCGTTATCGGCTCATTCGATCAGGAAAAGAGGGTAACAGATATCAACGACATGTGCATCGAGTACCAGACCACGAAGGACATCAAGACGTTGGTCAGGCTGGCGAACGTGCTGGGCCAGCTCCAGGAAGGGGAGGTCCTTCCCCAGGCAGCCCTCGTCTCCATCTCGAATGCGGTCAATCACGCTTCGCAGCACATGATCGAGGTGGCCAAGAGGGACAGCGAGCAGGCCCCAGGAGAGTCTTCAGACACGGATGGCAAGCACGTCGATGCGGTCTACCTCATTACGAGCGCTGTCGGACGGATGGTACCCTTCCTCAAGGCGAGCACGGAACAGATCATGATCAAGCGTGGCAAGTACGCCGAGGGCATTGTGGCTACAGCAAAGAACTTCGTCAACATGACGGAGGTGACCAAGTGCGTGATGGCGATGGGCCCAGACGCGGATGCACGGTCCAAGTCAGAGCAGTGCATGCCTCGCTTGCTGGAGCTCGGTCGGGCCCTGACCTCCTTCGAGAGTGCGATCCAGACGTGGAAGGGGGGCGGCGGAGACCCGAACTTCGGTCGCAGCGAGTACGAGCGCTCCGTGCAGACCAAGCAGGAGGTCGCCACGGCGTTCATCAAGAACCTGAAGGAGAAGAACCTCAATGCCATGCAGGACGCGGAGAAGATCTACGGCATGAAGGGCTCGACTGTGCCGACTTGGCACGATGGCCTGAGTGCCGACGTGAAGTGGGCTGAGCTGATCGAGACGAAGCAGGCTAGCGACTTCCACGCGAATGTGTGCCTGGACGCACTGAAGGCCAAATGCGAGGAGGTTTGCCAGGTCTTGCGCCAGCACGACGACTTGTTCGCGTCCGTGAAAATGCCTGTCGTCAAATGGGACGAGATGATGCAGCTACGAGCGGACCTGAGCGTGCTATACACGGAGCTCCTCATCCTGGACAAGGCTGGCAATTCGAACATCCAGAAGGCAGAGCTCCGCAGGCACGCCATGGCCGCCAAAGCGTTCTGTCAGGACATGGGCGGCGAACAGGCCGCGAAGGCGGTCTTCGCCCCCATCGCCATGAAGATGAAGCTTGCGCTTCAGGGCAAGGCCTAGGCGTGCGGCTCTCTTTGCAGAGCGCACTGGGCCTGCAACGGAGGAGAAGGAGGAAGAGGAGGAGGAGGAGGAGGAGTGGGAGAAATAGGAGGAGCAACAGCAGCAACTAACCCAGGAGGCAGCAGAGCTCCAGTGCGCCCTTTCCTTTTTTTGGGGGCCGCAGCCGTAATAGTGACTCGAACGAGGAGGAGAATGAGGAGAAGGAGGAGGAGCAGGATGATGAGGAGGATGAGGAGGATGAGGATGAGGAGGAGGAGGCGGAGCAGAAGGAGGAGGAGGGGTGGGAGGAGGGAGGGGTCAGGAAGCGAGCGAGGAGTAAGGAGCCACGAATACAGAGTCACAAGGTCTGCGGTGCCCCGCACGTTCGCCCGTGACCAGGGTAGGAATGCCCACGGTCCAGACGGTCCTCTTCATCGTCCTTGTGCCCTCCTTTTTCACCTTCCCCTGCCATTCCATACCCTCGTATCCCTGCCCATGTTCCTCCCCCTGCTCTTCTTTCCTCATTTCCCTCAGCATGTTTACTCCAACTCCACGCGGTCCTTCCACTAAACACCACACGGCTCCTCCCATCATTACTCTACCTCTTCCTAACACGCGTCATCCCCCTTCTTATCGAAGGCCGAGTTTCCAAGATCGAGGGTCCAGGATCCAGAACAACAAAAGAGGATGAACAATGGAGGGTCCAGGATCCAGAACAACAAAGTAGGATGGGCATGAACGGAGACAGGACGAGGATATTCACGGCCGTGGCCCTGGTCTGAGCCAAGTGGGCCACGGAGGGTCTTTGCCAGCCAAACCTCTCCTCGGACCTGCATCCCGTGGCCTCTCGAGAGAGGCTCCTAGGGCCGATCGGCTCGTAGGGGCCCCCGACGCGCAGCCCCCGACGCGGGGATAGGGCTGGGCACAGCCCCCGACGCATTGTTTAAGAGGACGGTGTGCTCGGTACAGCCCCGTCCTCGTTTTTCGTTGCCCTTCTTCTCTGATATTCCAGCTCCGTTCCGTCTCCTTCGGCATCCTTCCCTCCTCCTCCTCCTCCTCCCCGTGCTCCTCCTGATGATTTTCCTCCCTACTCATCCTCGTGTTCCTCCTTGTGTACCTGCCGCGCCCTGCCGTGCACGTTGAGTCATCGTCCTCTAAGTGTTCCTACTTATCACCTTCTCGGTTCATCCTCCTCGTCATGATTCGTCTCCTCGTATCGCTGCTATACAATCCTCCTCCTATGCTCCACTTCGTACTCCTCCTCGCAAGTACTGCGACGCCTTGGACGTCATCTAGTAATGAATGCCCGATCCCCCAAAGGTTCCCCAAGAGGTGAAAACGTAGGAGTTTCAGAGACAACGAAAAAACGCTACCCTGGGATGGTTCAGGGGACTTCTGGGCGACCCCATCTGTGGCCCCCTGTAGAGGGACGTGCAAGTCGCAACCCTAGTTGGGTAGCTCCTCTTTCTCTCCCTCCCTCCTGCCGAACTCGCATCGGCACCGCTGTGGGAAACTTACCACAGGTCTGTTGCTGGCCTATGAAATTCACCTGGCGGTGTTCACCCCATGAAGCGAAGGTCAAGGCCCTCCACCTTCCCCTGACACCCGAAGCGTCCAGAAGCAGGAGAAGGAGAAGGAGTAGGAGGAGGAGGAGGAGGAGGAGGAGGAGGAGGAGGAGGAGGAGGAGGAGGAGGGTGTGCGCGGCACCTAGCCAACCCTCGCAGTACCCATGTTTTCCTCCTCCTCCTCCTCCTCCTCCCCTCCTCCTCCTCCTCCTCTTCCTCCTCCTCCTTTGAATTCAGTGCCTCGCTGCGGCGCCGTCGGGAAGAGAAGGAGGAGGGAGGGAGGATAAGGGAGGCGGGAGGAGGAGGAGAGAGGAGGGAGGACGAGGAGGGAGGGAGGAGGGAGCATAATGGAGGAGGGATGCGGAGGAGAGAGGAGTCACCTAGATCGACCTCCCACAGGGCTTCCAGTGAAAAAAACGAGAGCACTTTGGAAGTGCCGGCGCCGAGGCAAGAACGCGGTCGCTTGGCCCCCGCGACGGCGTTCGCCGCGGGGGCGCGGGCGAGGCGAGAAGCAGCTCAGCGCGGCTTCGCGGCGCTGGTAGCGAGGCAAGCGCGCGGGCGCCGAGGGGCGTCGGATGGCGGAGCCAACGATATGCACACCACGCAGCGACGGCTGCATCGGCAGTGCTGGCGGCGGCAATGCTCGCGACCGTAGCGCTGGCGTGGGATAGATGCAATGGCAGTGGTGTTGTTTTCCTCCTCCTCTGCGGAGCTTCTCTAGGGCGGGCCTAAGCCGCGCCGCTTCCAAGGGCAAGCCGAGGTCCCCGCTCTCCAGGCGGGTCCGGGGGCTTGCTCCTCGGGCCAGACTGCTGAGCAGTTCGCGCCTTGGCGAAGCATTCTACGCTGCATGCGCTTTCGCCAGGCACAGGTAGCACGCCAGGTCGCCCAAGCTGTACTCGGGCACGCCGGAGCGCCGGACCGAGACGACCATCTGCACCGCCGTGTCGTAGTCGAGCTCGTATTGCTTGACCCCGTTCCCCATGTTGCTCAGGGCATCCCAATCGCCCAGGTGGTCTTCGAATCGGCTCCTCGTCGCAAAGGCCAATGACCGCAGCAGGTGGGTACTGTTATATGACTTCAGCCCCCCGCGGTAGAACCTGACGCCAGCGCGCTGCAGGATCTGGCGGTACGTGTCATAGCGGAAGGGCGGCTTCTGGAGCGCATTCGCCACTTCTGCGCAGGCCGTCGGCCACGCCTCATTCCGCACGTCGTCTAGCATCACCCTCCAATCCGTATCGGTGTTTCTATTCCAGTTGCAGGGGTTCCGTACGGCGACGAGGGCGTTGACGCCCGGGCCAGGCTTTTGAATCAGGGCGCCCCTCAACACTCGGAGAGGACGAAAGAAAAGGCCCGCGACCCCCCACGCCCAGTCGAGGGCGCGGGCGACGCCCTCGATCGTGTACCCCGCGTTCATGTCAGGGTGCCCCAGCAAGAGCGCAAGCACAAAGGCTACCGCGTGCGCGTGGTACACCAGGTGCACAAAGCCGAAGACGATGACGCAAAGCGTTGTCGGCCATCCCTTTCGCTGCATCACCGCCCATGCTGCCGCCAACACGCGAACGTCCGCACGTGACATAAGGCACCAGATACCTTCACCCTGGATGTCTGTCTGCTGCATATCTGGCGGGAGCCTGGAATGAAGGGGTGCGTCCGTGCCTGGTGCTGTCGGCAATTCCTGCGCAAGCATCCTGTTCGAGAAATCTACAATGTAATCGTAGACCGGCTGGGCGAAGGCTGGGAGGTCGACTGAGGCGGCCAGCGCCCTCTGCACAGCCTCAGGGGCTGGCGCGGGTACATACACCTCCACGTCGCCGGCATTATCTTCCATCCAGCGTAGCTCACACTGTTCCCGCAAAGGGGCCTGGGCCGCCACGAGCCGTGCTACCACTTCCGGTCTCGAACCCCGCTGGACGAGCCCGAGCCTCTTGCACATAGCTTGCATCACGTCGACGCTAAGCGCACGAGGGTCTGTCCACGCTTCGAGTGGCGGGATGTCTTCAGCACTCAGGATTTTATGGCGGCCCTTCTTGACCGCGCGGCCTTCATCTGGAATCTCCACAACTGGGATCTCGCCCTGCTGGGGTGGTGCCGGGCCTGCGCCCGCAGGCGCAGGAGAAGCCCGAATGCCGAAGCGTTCCAAGGACATGGCTGCACGGGCGCAGCCAAGCCTTGCAGCTTTGAGCCCACGAGGCTACGGAGGGAAGGGGGAGGCTAGCAGACACAGCCCTCCCACACTCAGGACGTTCAGTGCCGCATGTTACGACCTTGCTTTTAATGCTGAGGCGGTTCTGTTCGAATTCAAGACCTATGGGACTTCAGAGGACGCCTGTCACATTTTACGGCTGTCTGGGCCAAAGGGCGAACACCTCTCACATGTTACGGCCCCTTCGGCCGAGCAAGGCATGCAAAACAAAAGACGACGAACGGACAACAGAGGGGGGGAGGTAGGAGGACCGCAGGAAAAGCTTGGGAACTCAAGGCCGCGGCGGCATCAATCACTATACCCGCCACGATTCCAACGGACAGCGGGGGGGGCCCCACGGAGACCGACGGAACACGAACCCGACGGAGCCCGACGGAGCCCGACGGAGCCCGACGGGGCCCGACGGGGGGGGTAGGGCGGAAAGGGTTGGAAGGGAGGGCGGAGGAGGAAGGCGAGAAGGGTTCGAGGAGGGGAGGGTGGAGGAAGACGGGGAGAGAACTGACGAGGAGGGGGGGAGGGAGGACAAACGAAGGGGCGAATAGAAAACCAAAATAATCATAGATGAGAGGGGTGCCCCCGAACTGATGAGAGGTGCCCCCGCGGTGGCCCAGCGGAACCCGACGGAGCCCGACGGGGCCCGACGGTGCCCGACGGAACTGGACGGATGATTTCAAAATGGCCGCTGGTGGAAGCACCGAACACGCCGGGGGGGCCCTCCACGCCCCTCCACCTCCTCGATACTTCCTCCGCGCGATCCTCCCTTTACGCTGTGGATCCTCACCCTCGTGCTCCTCAACCCCGTCTCCTCCCTCCCCCGCTCCTACCCCTCCATTCCGCCCCTCCCCCATTCCATGCCTTCCCCCCGGGGCCCGCAGAGCGCAGCGACGACCAGCCCGACACGCCCCGACAGTCACCGCGGGCGGCAAGCGCTCTCCCGGAAGTCTGAGCACCTCCCACGCGCACGAGGGCTATGCTGGTAATAGTGCGGACCATGATGTAACGATGGATGTCTGGGCGATGATGGTGATGAAGCCTAGGACGGCGACGAATGTGGGGGACGGTGGTGACCTCCTCTCTTGTGCTGGTCGCAATGGGTCGTGTACACTCTGAAGTCGGTTGGGTTGCGCTTGCTCTCTCGTTCGGTGGCGGGGCCGTGAATCACCACGTGCCCACGGGCCGCGTGCCCCTGCGCGTGGCCTCAGGAAGAAGACGGCACCGCTAGAAAACGACGCCGTCGAGCCGCCAGACTGATGCCGACGGCGACCGACGGAGCCCGACGGAGCCCGACGGCCAGCCCAGCACAATGGCCGGGGACAGGGCGTCAGCCACATACGACGAGGCTCGGAAGAGGGCACGCCCTCACTACCACTTTTTGAACAAGTTTGCCACGCATTTCTTCGAGTCCGCCTGCGAGCCCGAGCTCTTGGAGCCTGAGGCCTGCCCACTCTTGGCCATGCTCTGGGGGCACACCTTCTTCCTCCACTCCTCCACGTTCGACGCCTCCTCGGGGCCCAGCAGCCACCCGTGCACCAGCAGCGGCTTCAGCGTCTTCATGTTCACCTGCTCGTTCTTGTCCGCCTTGGACTTCACGTCGGCATATATGGCCAGAGCGGCGTCTTTCCCGCGCAGGATAGTAGCTGGCTGCCCCTCCTCTGGCGCCCCCGGGGCGTCGCAGAACAAAGCCAAAGCGTCGCGAATCTTGGTTTCGATGCCCGCGTTGGCCCCCAGGTCGAGCTTCGGCGGGCGGCCATTCTTCATCGCCTTCACGTACTCGAGAGTGTTCTGCTGAATCTTCAAGGCCCCCAACCCGCACCACGACGCCAACTTGGAAGTGCCCAGCGACGTCAACGCCACCGCGGACTCTGCCAGACTCGGGTAAGCCTCAACGTCAACGCACGCGAGGATGCTCTGCTTGAGCCGTTCCTCGGCCGGCTCCCCCATGAAGCGCTCCAAGTAAGGCTTCTCCACCCTGTCAATATATTTGTCGACGGACTTCAGGAACTTCCCGCGGGTCTTGAACACGTCGGAGATATGCTGGGCAGTGGGGTTCTCCACGTTCGCGAGGTACTTCATGCACGCGTTCCTGGCCAATTTGGAGTCTGCCACGGCATCGGCGGCGACAGTCGCCCCAGGGTAGGACACATCCTTCGGCGCCAGGTCCTTCTCGCAGAAGATGTTCGGCAACGCCTCGGTCTCGACCCCGATGGTCTTCTTCGTGGCGTCAACCCTCACGTTCCACTCGTCCAAGATGCTCGTGCTCTTGGTTTTGACGTCCTCGCGGCGGTACCTATAGGCAATATCCCTGGGCTCGTGCACGTCGACGGGATCTTTGCCGATACTCGTCACGGACTGGATGAAGCGCTCCTTCTCCTGCGCGATCGCCTGCTTCGTTATCGGGTTGACGGCGAGCAAGGCCCTCATGGAAGTGTCGATCAAGGACCCCACGTCCCCCTCCGCCAACTCCTGGTAGCCCGGCGCAAAGAGCTGCTGGGCCAGGTCGTAGCCGTGCCGCAAGAGCTGGTGCAGCTCCTCCTTCACGTCCGCCCACTTCTTCTTGCAAGACATGCAAGCTCGCAAGGCCTCGGCCGGGAGGACGAGGGAAGCAACTGCACCGTGCCTGTCGTACCACTCGCGAGGAGTCAGGTCGTTGTCCACGAAAGCCAAGTGAGATTTCATGAGGGCTGTCTCGAAGTGCTTCTTCATGAACTTCACCTCCGCCTCGTACTTGACGTCCATGCCGGTCCGCTTCAGGTAGTCCATGACGGCAAGAACGAACTCTGTCCCTTCGACCGTCCCCGACGGATTGACGTCCAAGGTTGCCCTCAGGATGGCAACGAGACTCTTCTGGTTTACCTCGCCCATGGTCTCCAAGAGCAAGCTGATGCCGTCGTAGTCCCTCTTCTTCTCGTACAACCCAGCCAACGCGTCCTCCAAGTTGGCCGGGATGGGCTGCGACTCGTCCTTCACGTTGAGCATCTGGGCGGCCTCCGACGACCCATACAAGGACTTCAGGCGCAAGAAGTAGTACTTTCCAAACGTGATCTTCTCTCTGCCCTCCATCAGCGCCTGCTTGTCGCGGGTGATCTGCTCGCGCAAGGTCACGTTGTTCCTCAGGGTGGTGTCGATTCTGGCGGTCTCCCAACCTTTGAAGTTATCCTGGATGCACTTCGCGACCTTCTGCTCGAGAGTGGGGCTGGAGCCTTTGCCAGTGGCCTTTTTGGTTTTCCCGGCGCTCTGGGCGAAGTGCACATCGACCAAGGCGCTGTCCGGGGGGAGCTCCGCCTTGGCCTTCTTGGGAGGCGGGGTGGCGTGTGCGTGGGCGCCGCCGCCCTTCCTCTTGGCCTGTGTCGCCTTGGCGCTCTTGGGGGCCATTCTCTGGACCAGGAGAGTACGGAGTGCAGGTGTACGCAAGCTCGCTTTGGGGGCCATTCTCTCCACATGCCCCCTTTGGGCCCGCACGGGCCCGGCGAAGCCCGACGGGGCCCGGCGGAACCGAACGAGGTAACCCACGAAACCCGAGGGGGCCCGACAGAACCGAACCGCACGGCCCGACGAAACCCGAAAGGGCCCCTGAGTCCAGGCGGAGCCCAGCCCGAACCCACAGGGCCATCTCGAGGCCCACGGAGCCCGACAGAGCCCGACGGGGCCGCGCAAGAGGGGGGCGGCGGGGGGGCGCAAAAGCGCTCCAAGATACTGCATAGCTGGATCGCTTCCCCTGGCGACCCAAATTGTCGTAGAGGTGCTGTCGCTTAGAGCACCAAGCGATGGCCAGGGGCCTGGCTAGGTCATCGGCATGCGCCGATATGGCGTACGTGCTAGTCGTCTGGAGGCCGTATAGGGCGCGCCATTGCGCAGGCTGCCCTCCGACGGCCTGTCCGCGGTAACTGTCGCACGGGACGCCCGCGTGGGCGGCGGTCCACGCACCGCCGCGCACCGTCCACACAAAATCCCGAAGCTCAGCGCGGTCGCCGTCTGCGGCAAGCTCTTCGCGACGAGCGTCCAGCTCATCCAACAGCTCCGCAATAGTCAGGTCGTCCATGTCAGCGCCGACACCGCTGCCGACAGGGCCGAAGCTGACCCCGACACGGCGGGGGCCATGGTTTCCCGGTTGCGGGAGCTGGGACCAAGTGTCCATGTCGAGCTCGGAAAACAACCAGGGAAGGACGTCCCAATCGCAGTGGGTGCCGGATGTCTCCTTGGGTATCGGGGCCGCTGGGCGGTCCGCCTCCACGCAGACCCCGGGCCCCAACGACCGCACCACCTCATCCATGGGCATCTAAGTTGCGTTGGATACCCAGACGTCCCCGCGCAGCGACTTCACGTTGGAGAGGACGTGAACGGTCCAATTAGGATCGAATCCCCCCTCATCCGACCATGCGAACTCGCCCGGGCACCGTGCGAACCGATGAGCCCATGCATTCTTGGACGTGCTCCACGCGTCTGGGGCGAGGTGGCGGCCGTCGCCGGGCAGCTTCTTCATGGGGGCCACCCCGATGAGCAAGGGATTCTGGACGCAGTAGACGACCTTCACGTAAACGACCTCGTCCTGCTCGTCGACCAGACGAAGAATGCAACGTTTGAAGAAGTCCCTGTTGTAGCACACAGGGCGCACCCAGTCTGGGCGAGCGCCGCCGGCATTCGCAATCGCGGGTGCGACGGGCACGGGCTCCAAGAGCTCCTGCGGCAGGGAGGGGGGAAGAGAGTGGCGGGGGCACCCGGGGCCCCAGCCTCGGCCCCGCCAGGGTACGTCTCGGACATCGGCGGGACGCAGAAACGACCGAGAGCTGATATCGCAGACTGGGCGCCAAGGGGTCGTTCAACACGCACCCTGCGCGCCTGCCCGCCGCGAGGCTACGCGGGGGGATTGGTGACCTATGGGCGGCCAGGGGCGGCTGCAACCTCTCGCCGAGTACATCCCTGGACAGGTACATCCCAGCCCCCCACGCCCCCCGTTATCGAGTAGCCCCCCGCGTCGCCCCGGGGAGCCCGACGGGGCCCGACGGAGCCCGACGCGCCGCCATACTTGAGGTGGCACTGTGGGCGGCACAAGCACGGGCGGCAGGGAGCTCGCTAAGGTGCCCGCGCAGCCATCAAGTGACCCCTGACGGATCGCTCTCGCGCGACTTAGTCGCAGGAGGGCCGATGGACCCACTCGGCCCCGACGAGCCCAGGGCGCCCGAGCGGCCCCAGCCTGGGCCAAGCGCGCCCTCGCATGTCCCGAGAGCCCCCAACCGAAACATCGAGGTGGAGGCACCCCCACGCCCCCGTTATCGAGCGGCCCCCGCGTCGCCCCGGAGAGCCCGACGGGGCCCGACGGCCCGCGCGGGCCGACGCGCGCGCGAACCCCGCGGGGCCCGACAACGCCCGACGGAACGCGGCGCATGGCCGAGAACCTCTGCCCCGAGAGAGACCCGGCGAGCTCGACGGAGCCCGAAGGCGAGGGGACTGGCGGGGTCGGCGACGGCCAGGGACGCGGGCAGGCCAGGACGGCGAGCTATTTCGACCGGCGGGGGGGGGCCCAGGAGCGGGGCAGGGGTCTCCTGAACCTCCACCTTCGGGGCGATAATCGGCTCGGCGGCGAGCCTCCTCCTCTCCTCGATGTCGCTGGAACTCAGGGGCCACGCGGAGAAGAACTCGTCCGCCCTAGCGCGCTGCGCCGAGCTCCACCGCGCCGACGACAAGCGCAACGGAGGCAATTTGCCGTCAGCCTCGGCCTCGTCGGCGCGCAAGCCGTCGATCTTGGAGAGGATCTTCTCCCTCTGCTCTGCGATGTCGGCGAATGCTTCCACGCGAGCCCGCTGCGCCTTCCTGGCGTACTGCTGCTCGACCTGCGCGCACTTGCCCCGCCACACCCTCCCGTGGCCCTTGATGATGGCTTTCGTCGCGCGCGCGCCCCTGGCGCGGCCGTCGGCGCCCCCCCCCGCCTTGGCCTGCAACGAGAGTTCCTTCACGTACACGTGGCGCCCAGTAATGCGGTTGGGCTCGCGGCGCGCCAGGCGTTGAAGCTGGGCTCGAAGTCGCGGCAGGAGCTTCTCCGCCCGCGTCAAAGACACCAAAGCGGCAGCCTGCTTCACGAGGCTTCGGCACGTCATCGTGTTGGCACTGTAATCATTGTGGTGCTTCATGACGGTGCTGGCAGCGGCGTGCCCCTGCTCCACCGTAGTAGAGGAGAAAGAGACGTTGGCCAGCAGCCTCAAGCCATCCTTGATGGTGTCCTTATCGAAGCCGGCGTGGAGCAGGGTCCATATCTTAGCTGACGTCTCCTCATCTGGCATGTCCTGCTGGCAGAGGCTGTCCAGGTTCTCATCGACGTCGCCGATGCAAAGCGAGAAGGGCAAGCTGTGCACGGAACGGAAGCGGCCCTGAGTGAAGCAAGCCATGACGAGGCCTGCGTGGCAACTGTCGTCGCGAAGACGGTGCCACGGTTCGTCGATGCTGTCAGCGATCGTCTGCCATACTTCGTCCGAGATGTCCTGCTGGCGGCGGACCTCCTCGTGGATCCCAGCCTCCACTGCCCCAATGACCTGTATGAGGCGGTCGTCCTTGAGCAGGGCATGCAAGGCCGTGTCCACAACCACCGAACTCGTGGCCATGATGGCGACGAAGCGCCGGACCTCCCCTGCCCAATGAGAGAAGCCCTTGATGAAATACTTCGAGCTGCTGGTCTCTCCCATGATGAATCGGTGGAAACCCTCCAGACCAGCGACAACAGAGGAGAGGAGCGTGCGGCAGCTTCTCCCCACACTGGCCCAGCGGCTGCACTGAACTTGCGGAATTGCCAGAGGTGCGCCAGCACCACTTCCACTCTGTCCTTGACGTCGGGCCGCCCACGGAATTTGGCGGCGACCTTGAGCTGGCCATCCTGGTACCTCAGTTGGAGTTCTTCTAGCTCGTCCAGCCACTTTTCGTCCACGCCTAGGACAACCCAGACCTCGCGGACCGAGTGGACGGCCCAGTCCTCAAACGCCGAGTCTTTCAGGAACTCCATGTCCAGCCATGGTCGCACCTGCTTCATGAGGATGTCGAAGGAGTTGCGCAAAGAAGCAATTGCGATGAACGTGGACCTGGTGACTTCCTTGGTAACGAGAAACTCCAAAGCCGCAGCTTTCCAACCGTTGTGGATATCGTGCGTCTTGCAGGCGTCGGAAGTGTACCAAGAGAGCAAATCGCAGAGGGAAGCGTCGGCTTCGGCCATGGTATCTTTCATGTGCATGCTCAAAGCTGCATGTAGTTGCCGGTGGTGACGGTCCATGGCCGAATATACGGCCCTATCGTACACGTAGTGGTGCACGACGAGGCCGCGATGCCCAAGCTCACGGGGCAGGCCCATCATCTTCCGGAAGGCAGCGAAATGGGTCCACGCATCCTTCGAGGCCATCGCCGCCGGCTCGGTTATAACAGCGTGCGTATCACCCTCAGTGTCCTGCAAATGCAGCCGTTGGATCAGCCATTCCTTGCTGGCGCGGCCTTTCCTGACGACCTTCTTGTCGCCGCTGCGCAAGCACCATCTCTCCACGGTTGTCAGCGGTGTCGTGTCGCTCCCATGCATGATCAAAATCGGGTCCTCCTGGCGGCTCTGAATCCACCGCGTAGCCTCGACCTCCATGACGTCTTTCAAAGCCTCGGCGGCGCGATGAAGCTTATGAACATCATGAATGTCAAGGTTCAGACCTGGTTTCCGGTACTGCTGTAGCAGATCGCACAAAGGCATTATGATCAGGCAGCCCCCCGAAGCCTTGAGCCAAATGCCCTCTGGTCTTGGCGGGTCCGTTGACGGCAGGACGGACGGGGGAGGAGGCACGAGGCCCGACGGGGCCCGACGGGGCCCGGCGGAACCCAACGGGGCCCAACGGGCCCAACGAAGCCCGACGAAGCCCGACGGAGCCCGACGGAGCCCGACGGAGCCCGACACATTCCACATTGCTTTGGGGGCCCGCGGGGGCCCGACAGGGCTCGAAAGAACCCATCGGAGCCCAACGAGTCCAACGAGACCGGCTCGCGCTGGTTTGCCCGAGAACTCCTCGAGGCGCCCGACGACGCCCCACGAAGCCCGACGGGGCCTGCGGGGACCCACGGGGCCCCTCGAGACGCGGCACCGCATCGCGCGCCTAAGAACTACGACTGGGCCCGACACCTCCCGGGCGAGATCGATTTGAAATAATGGGTCCCCGACGACAACACAGACTGTAGAATGCGGCGCAAAGGGTCTACAATCGCGCGGGACCTGCATCCTCGGGAAGCGTTATCGCGCACCGCGCCCGAGCACATGCGTGCACAACTGTGTATCAACGTCTAGTCGACACTCGCCCTTCCACCCCTTCCGTGCGCGAAGCGCTGCATCCCGACTGGCCGAGAACGCCGCCACCCCGCCGATCAAAAAAAAAACTGAAGGGCACATTTGATTTTTCACTCAGGACCCCCGATCGAGGTGAAGAGGAGGGAGGACGATGAGGGAGGGAGGGAGGGAGGGAGGGACCAGCAACACCACTCTGAGAAGCACGTCGGTGAGCAGTACGAGCGAGAGCAGCACCACAAATATTACGACTGCGACCGCCATCAGCAGTACCGCTCGGCCCAGCACGTTGGTGAGCAGTAGAACTGAGAGTACGACAACGGGGGTTGCGATTCCGACCGCTACCAGCAGCACCACGCGCAGCAACACCGGCGCAACCAGCAGCACGACGGGAACCGTCAGTACCACCCGAAGTAACACCGGCACGACTTTCTGTACCATGCGGGCCAGCACGACGGAGACCACCAGCATCACCAGTACCAGCACCAGTGGGACCCAGCAACACCACTCTGACAAGCACGTCGGTGAGCACTACAGGTGAGAGCAGCACCACGAGAATTACGACTGCACCACGAGAGCGACGACTACGACCACCACCAACACCACTCTGACGAACACGTCGGTGAGCAGTACGAGTGAGAGAGAGAGAGAGAACAAAAAAAAAGAGCAGCACCACGAAAGGTACGACTAGGACCGCTACCTGCAGCACAACGCCCAGCAGCACCAACGCAACCAACAGCATGACGGGAATCGGCAGCACTACCCGAAGTAGCACCCGCCCTGTATGCGGCACCACGCGGACCAGCACGGCGGAGACCAGCGGCACCAGCGGCACCAGCAGTGGGACCAGCAACACCACTCTGTCGAGCACGTCGGCCAGCAGTACAAGGGAGAGCAGCATCACGAGAGTTACGACCACGTTGAGGCGCGCCCAGCTGGAGCAGACCAGGGCCGTCGCGGTGGAGCGCCCCTGCGCACCAGACGGACACCGGGTCTTCCCTGCGGACCTTGTAACCTCTTCCACGTGTGCTCGTGCGCAGCTCAGGCCATGGGAGCAAGGGGCACGACCTCATCAAGCCCAGGTTGTGCCTGCCCGAGCAGCACGGCCCAATGGCCGCAGGCCCCGGCGGGCGTCGGCAGGGCGTTGGTCACCAGCTGGTCCTGTTCGCCGCCTGGGCCCCGCTAGTCACAGGAGGCATTTCTGCCGCGGCCCTGGCCCAGAACCCCGTTGGCCCAGTCGTCCGGGGCTGGTGCACCCCGCCATCGTGACCTTAGCGGAGTGCCTGAGCGCCACACCATTGGAGTTCTTGCGCTACGGAGCCTGCGTCGAGGGCGGGCTCGGGCGGATCGCCGTGGCTTGCGCCTGCGCGTGGGCCCTGGGGTCGGGCTTCCACGTCGACAGCCCATTGTGTCGAGCCCTCACGCTGGGGGGCCACGTGGAGCCGAAGCCCAGCAGCATACACGCCCTTCACGCCAGCCCTGGCGCTCGGGCACTGCGTGCCGACGACCCGGGCGGTGATCTCACCAGCGTTCCCTGCCGCGCCTTGCGCCCAGACCAGCTGCCAGAGCAGGGCGGCCCGCCGCCACTGCCAGACCCGCACCCGCAGCCCCGACCATCAAGATGAGGGGGCAGGGACTCCTTGGTGACGACGTGGGCGGTGGATGTAATGCCTTCCCGCCGGGGCTGCCTCTGCCGGACGAGCTTGTGCCGAGGCCTCATCGACAAGGGCGAGCTCCGAGCTTTCAGCCCAGCTCTGGCTAACCCTCAGTACTTCCACTTGCGGAGCATAGAGGGAGGCTTGGGCCCATACGAGAGGCTGCAAGGCACGGCGGCGTTGACGCCCGCCCAGCAGGACGAGGCGCGGGGCTGTTGCGACCGGCCCGGAAGGCCTTCCAGAACAGAGTACTTGAGGGACGCCTGACCCCGGAGCTGGGCCAGGGCCGCCGCCACCTCCCGGGGCACATCTGTGAGCATCGGCACGAAGTCCTCCAAGTCGTCGTAGGACACGTTGTCCCACCACCAGGCCAAGTTCCGGGGTTGTTGGCGGCCGACCTCTTCATCCTTCTCTGGCGGCCTCCCCGGGGCGCCGTCGTCCTGGCCCAGGGGCGGGACTCCCAGCGCAGCCGCCTGGACCTGTTGCCCAGGTTCCACTGTGCCCTCTTTGCCCGTCGAACGTCGGGAACCGTCAGTACCACCCGAAGTAACACCGGCACGACTTGCTGTACCACGCGGGCCAGCACGACAGAGACCAGCAGCATCACCGGTACCAGCACCAGTGGGACCAGCAACACCATTCTGACAAGCGCGTCGGTGAGCACTACAGGTGAGAGCAGCACCACGAGAACTACGACTGCACCACGAGAGCGACGACTACGACCACCACCAACACCACTCTGACGAACACGTCGGTGAGCAGTACGAGAGAGAGAGAGAGAGCAGCACCACGCAAGGTACGACTAGGACCGCTACCAGCAGCACCACGCCCAGCAGCACCAACGCAACCAACAGCATGACGGGAATCGGCAGCACTACCCGAAGTAGCACCCGCCCTGTATGCGGCACCACGCGGACCAGCACGGCGGAGACCAGCGGCACCAGCGGTACCAGCAGTGGGACCAGCAACACCACTCTGTCGAGCACGTCGGTCAGCAGTACGAGGGAGAGCAGCACCACGAGAGTTACGACCACGTTGAGGCGCGCCCAGCTGGAGCAGACCAGCCACGACGTGTCTCGAAGCCTTGGAGAGCGGGGTCGCCCAGGCCCCACAGCGGGCGGAAGAGCTGCTCACTGTCTTCGACGGAACGGTCCTGTTCAAGCCGTCGAAGCAGCGCGGCGGCCAGAAGGCGAAAAACAGCGGAGAGCTGGCCAGCATCCTCACCCGCCGAATCAGGACAGCGGGGGCAGGAGACTGGGGGGGGACTCGCCAGAGAAGCGCTCGTAGCAAGGGACGCAAGCGCGACGGCCGCCCGGGCCGACTTCCGCCGCGAAGGCCGTGGAAAAGCTCGTTGGGGAGCATTTGATTAGCAAAGCCATGGTTCGCGCCAGCAGTGCGGCAAGGCTGGCCACGGGAGCGGGAGTCCAGACGGAGCTCCAGCAACTCTCCCCCCCCCCGCGGGCGAGCTTGGCCACAAGCCCGCGGCCGTCGGGGCCGGGCCCGAATGGCGGCAGATTCGGGCACTGGCGCACCCTTCTCGCCAACAGCGCGGCGCTCGACGCAGTTGCCACAGTCACTGGGCTTCTTTTGCACGGGAGCCGGAGCGCAGAGGCCACCAGGGCCAACCTCGGAGCGCGGCGGGTGGCGCTGCGGAAAAAGACTGGCGGCCGGCCTATCGCGTGCGGGGGGGGTGTTGAGGCGGTTGGCGGCCAAAGCGGCCTGTGAAGTATACAAAAAGAAATCAGCCAGGCATGTGGACCGCACCAACACGCAGTGGGAAAGCCAGCCGGGCGCGGCGTGACACACGTATGCATCTCCGCCCTCGCCGAAGCACATCCAGGAGGCGTTGTTCTGGCCTTCGGCTGCACCAACGCGTACAACAGTCTCCCGCGTGCCCGAATCTTTGAGGGGCTCCAAACACGAGCGCCCAGTCTTCTTCGCACCGCGTGCTGCTGGCTGGGGGGCACCACTACGTACCTCTACTGGGGCGACGCCAGCGGCGCGGCACGGCCGGTCACGGCAACCACAGGCGTGGACTAAGGCTGCCCGTTCTTCGCGATTGCAGTGGCGGACTGTCTGGCCGAGGTCTCCCAAGGGTTCCAGCAACTCTCGCTTGCTTACCGGGTCTTCTTCTAGCTAGACGACATCATGGCTTGCGCACCCCAGGAGCACGCTGCAGGAGGTGGGCGCCCTCACCAACCACGGCTTGACGGCCAACCAAAGCAATATCCATGCGTGGTCACTGGACCGAGAGAGCGACCTCCCAGAAGCCATCAGCGCGCTCAGGGTAGACGAGTGAAAATGTTTGGGCAACTCAGCGCCATGGTTAGACCAGCAGGAGGACAGGTTGGTAGTGCACGCGGGGGCAGACGGAGCGACGGCAGTGCAAATGGCGCAGGCCTTCACTCGGCGACTCCGAACTGCGAGGGGTCGGAATTTCCGCCGAGGCCTACCTCACTCTGCTGCGAACCTTCGCACAGGGATGAGTCACCCACCACCTGCGGGCCAATTTGCAAAGCAACTGGGTGGAGCAGCTCGACACGGTGGTGTTCTCGGCCCAAACACCTACTTCGCGGGAGCCAGCTGGACGAGCTCCAGAGGCTGCAAGCCACCATGCGCCTCGCCGACGGAGGGTGCGCCATCCCGTCTGCCGCCCAGACAGCGCCAGCAACTTACGCCGCGAGCTGAGCGCTCTGCCTCCGCGACGTGGCCACATGCCTGGACGTGAGCACGCCGGAGGGGTTCCAGACGCGGTGCTCGCGAACAGTACAAGCGCTCGCCCAAGCCCAGCGGGCGCTGCAAGCCTCGGGGGCGACAGATGAACAGCCCCTCGACTGGGCCCGAAGCCTCCACCAGTAGCCCCACGCGAAGCTCCAGGGCGTGTGGAGACAGGCGGCCTCTGGGAACAACACAGAACGGATACTGCGGGAGCTCCGAGAAAATGACCCCGCCTGCCGCTCCGGGAGGGCGGCGGCGTAGGCGCAGGGGCGTTTCCCTAGCCGCGGCAACCGGGAGACCCTGTGCGGCCAGACGATCAGGTCGAGGTGAGCCTCATGTGCCGACTCCGTGCGCCGGTCTGCCCCGCTGGTTCACGCTGCCAACACCGGCGGCACGCTGTGCGGAGAGGCCCTCGACCCACCCGGGTTCCACGCCAAGCCATGCGAGGTGGGCCAATCCCCCTGCTCGGCACGACCGCTTCCGTGACCGACATGCAGCTAAGCATGCGGATATCACCGGTCATGCTGCGCCAGCGGAACGGCGGGTGCCTGCGTGGATCTTCGTCGATCGGGCGTGCCTGCGTGTGGAGCGCCCATCGCCACTCGACGACGACAGCCCCACGACAAATACCGCCACTACCACAGCGCCGGCGGCACCCACCACCACTCCGACGACTACGACTGCCACCACCACGCCGACTTCCACGGCCACAAACAAACCACCACGACCGCCCCCCGCCCGGCGCCCCCTCTTCCTCCTCCTCTCCTTCCCCTGCCGCCTCTGCCGGGCCGCCGCTGTATGCATATCTCCTTATATGATATGATTAATGGTGTGGCGTTTTTCGTGGTTGGGGACCTGGGACACTACCCCGACGCCCAGGGGTCCTCCTTGGGGAGGAGGAGGAGGAGGAGGAGGAGGAGGAGGAGGAGGACGAGGAGGAGGAGAAGAAGAGCGTGGGGAGGAGAAGACGACAAATGAGAGAGGCGGGAGGAGGAGGAGCAGGAGGAGGAGGAGCAGGGAGGAGAGGAGGAGAGGAGAGGAGGAGCAGGAGGAGAGAAGAAGGAGAGAGGGAGGAGGAGGAGGAGAGGAGGAGGAGGAGGAGGAGGCTAAGGAGGAGAGGAGGAGAAGGAGCAAGAGCAGGAGGAGGAGCAGGAGGAGGAGGATGAGGAGGACAGGAGGGAGGACGACAAGGGAGGGAGGGGGGAGAACCCCCCCTTCTCCTGCTCGAGTATGCAGTACTTCCAGGCCAGCCCGCTCCCCCTGGCGAAGCCCAGGAGGCCCTCCTGAACGCAGGAGCACGGCGCGAGCGGATGCCCCTCCGAGGAGGGGGGGAGGGGCGGAGATGCGAGGGAGGACTCCCCCCCACGTGCCGACTCAGTCGGGGCAGGGGGAGGAGGGAGGCGGAGGTGGAGGAGGAGGAGGAGGAGGAGGAGGAGGAGGAGGAGGAGGAGGAGGACTTTGTTTTTGGATGCCACACGCCACGCTGAGATTGGTCAGCGCTGTTGTGGTGGGAGTGGGAGGGCAGCTGAGGGGAGCGACGGCGCGCGGGAGTCCCGCAGTGCAGAGGCAGAGGTGAGGGCACGAAGCCTGCAACGACAGCCCCAGACTCGGACAGACGGGGGAGAGGAAGGTCACGGACACAACGGCCGCCCGATTGCCGGAGCCGACCAGCCCCCCAAAAAACGCTCCCAGGATGGCGAGGCTGGAGGCGGCCGCTGGCCGCACTGAGGCGGCGCCCGACGGCCTGCCACGCGAGGGCCCAGCCTCGCTCGAGAGGGAGAAGGACAGGCCACCCCAAGAATGCAGCGAGGCTCGCCAGGGAAACGGTCCGTGGAGGGCACCCGGGAACCCGAAAGCTGCACACACACAGCACACACACACACGCACACACACAGACACAGACACACACACACACAGACACAGACACACACACACACACACACACACACACACACACACACACACACACACACACACACACACACACACACACACACACGCGCGCGCGCACGCGCACGCGCACGCGCACGCACGCACGCACGCGCACGCGCACGCACGCACACGCACACGCACACACAAAGACAAAGACACACACACACACACACACTCTCGGGACCTTGGACGCCAGAACTATCTGGGACCATTCGGGGCCTGGGCAACTCCGGTCTGGGCCCGCGATGTGCGAACCAGCAGCTACCTCTGATCGCCCCCTGCCCAGACGAGTCGGGAGTGGTTGGATAACTCCGGGCCGGGGCAACTCCCGTTTGGGCCCGCGACGCGCGAACCAGCAGCTACCCCTGACCACCCCCTGCCCAGACGAGTCGGGAGTGATTGGACGCCCGGAGTATCTGGGGTAACTCCGGGCCGGGGCAATTCCCGTTTGGGCCTGCGCCGCGCGAACCAGCAACTCTATACTTACCCCTGACCGCCCCCTGCCCCGATGGTTCGGGAGAGGTTCGACGCCCGAGTTATCCAGCACAACTGCGGCCCGGGGCACCCCTGGTCTGGGCCCGCGAGGCGCGAATCTGCAGTTACCCCTGACCGCCCCCAGCCCCGATGATTCGGGGCTCTGAGGACCCGTTCTCCTCAGGGCGCCCGTCTGCGTCATGGCGACACCTTCTGTGCGAGGCGGGGATTTACCCATATCCACCGCCTGGGAACCGACGCCCTGGCGCCCCAGCGGGCAGTGGATATGGATATGGGCTATGGATATGGATGTGGATGTGGATATGGCTATGAATGTGTGTATTCTTGTATGCAGGCATGTATATGTGTATGTATGTATGTATGTAGGTATATGTATGCATATGTGAAATCATGTTTCGATGAATGTGTGTATATGTATGTATGCATGCATGCATGCATGTATGTTTGTAGCTATGCGTGTATACATGCACGTATGTGCGTATGTATGTAGGCATGCATGGATTCATGCATGTATGTATATATGAATGTATGTATAGGTGTATGTGTGTATGTATATATGTAGAAAGATGCGTGAATGTATGTATGTATGCATGTCTGCATGCATGTATGTATATATATGTATGCATGAATATATGTAGGGATGGATCGATGGATGGATAGACGTGTGTCTGTATGCATGCATGTGTGCATGCATGTATGTAGGTATGCATGTATGTGTAAGTATGTGTGTATGTGTGGATGTCTGCGTCTATTATGTGAATGTATGCATGTGTGCTTGTATGTGTATGCGTGTGCCTATGTATGTAGATGTGTATATTTGCATGTTTGTGTATGTCCGTATGAGCAGGGATGCATGCCTGTATATGTGTATATAACTGTATGCATGTATACATGTGTATGCATGTATGTGCGTACGTCTGTATGTATAGTTGTATGTGCACGTGTGTATGCATAGCTGTAAATGTGTGTATGTATGTATGCATGCATGTACGCATCTAGATGTGTGCACGGATGGATTGACGGATGGCTGGACGTATGTAGGTATGTATGTATGCATGCATGTATGCGCTCATGTATGCATGCATGTACGTATGTGTGTATGTGTGGATGCGTGTAGATGTGTGTGACCCTATGCATGTATTTCACGTATGTGTATGTATGTACGTCGGAATGCGTGTATATGTTTGCATGTGTATGTTTGTATGCACATGTATGTATGTACATGTATGGTGGATGTATATGTGTATACATTTTCATATGCATATACATATATGGACGTGTGTCTGTATGTATGTAAACATGTGTATGCATGTATGTTGGTAACAGTGTGTATGCATAAAGGCTTCCATGTACGCATGCATGTATGCGCACAAATGTTTGTATGTAGGTATGACTGGGGATGGATGGATGGGCGCATGTAGGTATGCATGAGTGAATGTATGCATGCACGTATACATGCATGCATGCATGTAGGCATGTCTGTGTGTATGCGTGGATTTATGTGACTGTGTGTGCGAATGTATGCATGAATGTATGTATACGTATGTGTGGAATTGTATGTATGTGTATGCATGTGTGTATGTATGTGTATATGTACGTAGCACCCCGCAGTTGCGGATAACAGTGAGGGGGTGGCGGGGACGTCGGCAGTCTGCGAGGCTTTGAAGAAGCCCGCCGCAGGCGCATAACTTTACAAGTTATACAACGAGCCCGTCGCAGGCGCCGATTTTTTTCTTTAACAATGTAGGTGGGTCGCGGGTTGGGTCGCAGGTGGGTCGCGGTTGGGTCGAGTCGCGGGTGGATCGCGGGCCGGGTCGCGGGTGGGTCGTGGGTGGGTCGAGAGTGGGTCGCAGGTGAGTCGCGGGTGGGTCGCGAGCAGGTCGCGGGGTGGATCGCGGGTGGGTCGCGGTTGGGTCGCGGGGTGGGTCGCGGGTGGGTCGCGAGGTGGGTCGAGAGTGGGTCGCGGGCAGAGTCGCGGGGGGGACGACGACAACAACAACAAGCAGAATCCTCACCATGGATCCGCACTTCAGCCAGGCACCCAGGGACAATGAATGACCGTTCGGACCCTCACTCTAATATATGTAAATATATGTGCATGCATGCATGTATGTATGCATGTATAAACATATGTGTAGACATGTATGTACGTATATTTGCATGTGAGTGTTAAGGTGTATGTAATGTGAAATGAATGTCATTGTGAATGTAACTGAGAATGTTGTGTGTATGTGTGAATGTGAATGCGTATGTTAAAGCGAATGTGAACTTGTATGTAGCGTATGTGTATAAATATGCGGAGGTATTTTTGTAAATGTCCAGATGTACGCGTGTACGCATCATGCATGTCTGTATGTGTCTAGATGTATGTATGTATGGATGGATGGGTGGATTGATGTACGTATGTAGGTATGTCTGTATGTATGCGTGCATGTATGTATATCGATGAATGTATGTATGGATGGGGATGGATGTGTGGATGCATGCATGTAACTATGTATGCATGCATGTATGTATGTAGGCGTGTATGGACGTATATGACTGTATGTGAATGCCTGCATGAATGCCTGTATGTGTATGTATGAAACTTGATATGTATGTGAATGCATGTATCGTATGTATGCGTGTATGTATACATGCTTGTGTATGTAAATGCCTGTGTTTATAAACATGTGTGTATGTATGCATGCATGCACGCATGCATGTATTTAGATATATGTACGGATTGATGGATGGATGTATTTGATTTGCGTATGTAGGTATGTGTATGTATGCATGCATGTATGTGTGCATGTGTGCATGCATGCATGTATGTATGCATGTATGTGTGTATGTGCATGTCTGTAAATGCGTGTGCGTGTACGCAAGTATGTACTTATGTGTATGTATGTTTGAACATGCATGTATGCATGTATATATATTCATGTGTGTTTATGTATGTATGCATACGAATGCACATGCATATGTACATGTATACGTGTACGAAAGTATATGTATAATGCAGGTGCCTGCTTGCATGTGTGGATGGATGCATGTATGTATGTATGCGTGCAGTTGTCGATGTGCGCGTGTATGCATGCATGTATATATCATGTGTGTAGATACCTGTGTCTGTATGTATGTATGTATGTATGGATGGATGTGTGCATGCATGCATGTATGTATGTATGTATGTATGTGTATATATACATGTGTGTATCTACCTTTGTACGTGAACATATATGTGTGTGTGCGTGTGTGATACATATGATAAGCATATGTGTGTGGCCCCCCGGGGGAATCTATCCTATCCACCGCATGTGGAGGTCCGCGAAGATCGAAAACCCGAGGCGTCGGTTATGGACACGTCCTCGCCTCGGATGCGGGGCGTCGCTTACTGGGGGGGGCGATCAATAGGGGGGAGGGGACAAAGGTGCACCGCTCGGGCACTCATCGGCTACACGCAAGAGTGACCCAAAGCAAGAGTGACCTTTGGTGGCGCGGCTTCCGGCGGGCGCGGGTAGGCCAGCTCCAAGCGCGCAGGCCCGTGCAAGGGGGGGCCCCTCTGAGCCCGCGCAGGAGGTCACTCCGGCGAAGGGCCACTTTTACGCCCACGCCGAGCTTGACTAAAGGCCCCCTCGGCGGCGTGCCGGCCGCGGGCGTCGGAAGCGCCACCTCGGCGCCGCCTCGGGCGGCGCTCGCGGGAGGCCTCCCCGCCGCGCGCGGCGCGAGCAGCGCCCACGCCCGGGGCGCGCTCGGCGCGGCGCTGCTGGCGGCCAGGGCCGGCGCCGCGCACCCGAAGAGGGCCCGCGGCCACGGCCGGGCTGGCCGCCCAGGCTGGCGGGCTGGCGGCCAGGGGCCGGCGCCGCGCTGGGCTGGCGGCCAGGGCCGCGCTGGGCTGGCGGCCAGGGCTGGCCGCTGCTCGGCCTTGCGCTGCTCCGCCGCGTCGGCGGCCAGGGCGGGGCGCCGCGCCCGCCAAGGGGGGGGGAGGGGGGCGGGGCGGCGCGAGGCAGGGGCGGCCGTCCGAGGAGGCGGAGGCCGCGTGCCTCTGAGAGGGCGGGCGGTCTCCCTGGCCCCCCCCCCCGCTCAGAGGCCTGCTATGATGCATCATCAGGGCGCCTCCAAGAAAGGACCTTCTTGATGATGCTGATGCTGCTGCTGTGGCTGCTGCGGTGGCGGCTGCTGCTGCTGCTGCTGCTGCTGCTGCTGCTGCTGATGATGATGATGATGATGATGATGATCATGCTGCTGGTGATGGTGATGGTGGTGACAATTACGATGGGGGTAATGATGAGGACGATGATGAGGATGAGGATGACGATGGGGATGAGGATGATGATGATGATGATGATGATGATGATGCTGCTGCTGCTGATGATGAAAATGATGATGCTGCTGCTGCTGATGATGCTGCTGCTGCTGATGTATTTGCTTCCAGTGCGCTCGGCTGCACGAGCCGGTGACGGACAAGCTCGGGCGGCACTCGCCCACGCCGCTCGGCAGCCCCCCGCCCGGGAGTCGCGCTCGAGCTCGAGCCAAAGCGGCCGCGCCGCGCTCGGGGCGCGCCTTCGCTCGACCTCGAGCCGCGCCCGAGGCGCCCGCGCGGGCCACCCGCGGGCGCCTCGGGCGCCGGGCCGCCGCGCCCGAGGCGCGCGGACCACGGCGGCGGCCCGCGAAGGACGCGGGCCCCGGCGGAGCGAGGCCCGCCACGGGCAGCCCCGTGCTGGGGGGCAGCGGGTCCGGAGGGAGGTGGGGGTGGGGGGGGAGGAGGAGGAGGAGGAGGAGGAGGGCGTGGGGAGGAGAAGACGACCGTAGAGAGGCGGGGGGAGGAGGGGGGGAGGAGGAGAAGGGAGAGGAGGAGGAGGAGAGGAGGAGGAGGAGAGGAGGAGGGAGGAGGGGGAGGGAGGAGGAGGAGGAGGAGGAGGAGAGGAGGAGGAGGAGGAGGAGGAGGAGGAGGAGGAGGGGACGGGGAGGAGGGAGGAGGAGGAGAGGAGGAGGGGGGAGGAGGAGGGGGGAGGAGGAGGGGGAGGAGGAGGAGGGGGGGGAGAGGAAGGGGAGGGAGAGGAGGGACGAAGGAGGAGCGACGAGGGTGGAGGGCAGGAGATGATGATGGTGGTGATGATGGTGGATCGTGATAATGGTTATGTGGATGGCGATGATGATACAGTAGATGGCGATGGTACTGATGCTGATGATGGTGACGATGATGGAGATGCTGTTCATTATGATGATGATTGTGACGATGATAATGACGACGATGATCCGGAATATGACTGTGATGATGAAATTGAAGATAAAACTGATGACGAATATTGTGGTTATGATGCTTATATTGGCAATGCTGGTAACGACGGAGGTGACGACGATGATGCAGAGGATGGTGACTATGCATATGACGCTCATGGCCAATATGCTGATGATGGGAAGGGCGATGATTAGGATGACGATAATGACGATGATGAAGTTGTTGGTAGTGGTGATAATTATGCATGGTTATGTTTATGATGGTGGTGGCGATGATATTTGATGATTGGTGGTTGAGGATGATGCTGATATTGATCAAGGTGAGAGTGATGCGTCTGGTGATGATGGGGATGGCGATGCTAATGATGATGATGATGATGCTGATGCTGATGATGATGATGCTGATGATGATGATGATGATGATGATGATGATGATGATGATGATGATGATGATGATGATGATGATGATGATGATGATGATGATGATGATGATGCTGCTGCTGCTGTTGCTGCTGCTGCTGCTTATGATGGTGGTGAACACGAGGGCATGGACGCCCCATCCCCTCAGTCGAACGTTTTTCCGCCGTTTTTCCTTCCTTCCCCGCTCGCTCCACTCCCCTCCCCTCCTGCCACGCACTGTTGTTCCGCAACCCCGCCCATTCCTCATTCGTTCTCTTCTGTCCTGCCCAGTACGTCTGCTACCTCTGCTGCCGATGCTCTTCGCTCCCTCCACCCCCTCCCTCCTCCTGAATGTCAGCGTCGTCGTCGCATTTTCCGTCGCCATCGTTACCAAACTCCTCCTCACTCTCTATCCTAACTCCTCTGCGCTCTACAATACTGCAATTTCTCCCTCCGCCTCCCCTCCTCCTCCTCCTCCTCCTCCTCCTCCTCCTCCTCCTCCTCCTCCTGCGAGCGAACATGCTGGTCTGCGACACCCTGCCCAACCGGCGCCACGAACTGACGAGCAAATGGCGGTAAGCTGACGCAGGGTGCTACGGTCAGGAACTTTTCCTTAGCGTGCCGCGGCGGCGGCCCCGGCGACACGCCATCACGTGCAACTAGACAGCGTGTCGCTCCGGTCCGCTGGGCGGGAGGCTGAGACAGGCTCGGGACGTTGATGCCCGGGGAACTGGGACGTGGATAGCATGTCGCGCCGAGGCGCGGTGGGCCAAAACCAGCGACACGCTGAGCCAAAGTTCCAGGCCGTAGCACGCACCAGCGCGCGCCACTATGCCCGTTGCCAGAATCAGCATCATGCCAAGGAAGCAGCGACCCGAATTCATGAAATGGGCGTGTGGCAAGGCGACCGCGCGCCCCGATGGCAACCGCCCTGCCTTCCTTGGGCACGGGGGCATACACACTCCCATCTCCGCATCCGGCTCCTTCCTCTTAGTTATTCGTCCTCCCTCATTCCTCCCTCCTGCCCTCTTCCCTCGCAATTACTCCCTCGCTCCTTCCTCATTCCTCCCTCCTGCCGTCTTCCCTCGCAATTACTCCCTCATTCCTCATTCCTCGTAGTTCTTCGTCAATCATCCGCTTCCCTCTTCCCTCTTAGTTCTTCGTCCTCCCTCATTCCTTCCTCCTGCCCTCTTCCCTCGCAGTTCCTCCTCCTCCGCCTTCTTCCCTTCTCCTCCTTCCGCCTGCCTCGCTCCCCCTTCCGCGCTGCCCCCTCCCCTTTTCCCCTCTCCCCCCCCCCTCCTCGCCCTCCCCCTTCCCGCCTCCCCCCCATCCCTCCTCCACGGTGGATGAAGGAGGGGGGAGGGAGGAAGAAAGGGGAGAAGGGGACGAGGAGGGGATAGATGAGAAGGAGGAGGAGGAGGAGAAGGAGAAGGAGGAAGATGGAGTCTCCTACTCGTTCCTCCTCCTCTCCTCCTCCCCTCCTCCTCCTCCTCCTCCTCCTCTCCTCCTCCTCCCCTCCTCCCCTTCCTCTCCTCCTCCTCCTCCTCCTCCTCCTCCTCCTCCTCCTCCTCCTCCTCCTCCTCCCCTCCTCCTCCCCCTCCTCCTCCCCCTCCTCCTCCCTCCTCCTCCTCTCTCCTCCTCCTCCTCCCTTCTCTCCCCCTCCTCCTGCTCCCAGACCCTCTCGCGCCCGCATGGCCATCGGAGAGCGCCTTAATGAACTTCGTGTCCACCGCCCTGGGCAGGCGGCGGGCGAGGCGGGGGAGGGCATCTAGCATACAAGGGGGGGAGGGCATCCAGCATCCTCGTGGTAATTTTCCCCTTCTTCAGATTATCATTTTTCTTGGTATTATTATTCCTCGTGGTAAGTTCCGTCTTCTTCTTCAGATCATTATGTTTCTTTTTCTTCTTCTTCTTCTTCTTCTTAAGGGGGGAGATGAGGGAACGAGGGAGGGAAGGGGTCGGCAGGCGAACCCCGGAGTTCTTCTGGGCGGAAGCCGGCATTCCCAGGGAGGCGAGAAGCCCGGGTGCCCTTCCGGCAAAAAGCCCGGGATCTGGAGCCCATAAATCCGGCATCCCCGGCAAGCCAAAAACCGGGAACCCCGCAAGACACCATACCGAAGACTTCCCACGCCCAGAGCCGGAATTCCAGGAACGCCGCGAGGTCGCGACGGGGCTTGCAAGACACCCCACTCTGCTGGACCTCCCAGGAGCCCACGAGGGCGCTGATGATTGCGCAGTTCGCAGCCCCGGAAATCCGCGAGGTCTCGACGGGGTGTGCGTAACACTCGGCCCGCGAAAGCGGCAAAACTTGCGCAATCCGCAGCGCTCCAGTGAGCCGCGAGATCTCGACGGGTTATGCGTGACCCCCCAAGTCCGCTGGACCTCCCAAGAGCCCACGAAAATGAAGATGATGGCGCAATTCCCCTGGACCGGTTTTGCCGTCGTTATCCAATGGACGCCCTGACTCTGAGAACTTCCGCCCGGATCGGCCGCACTGACACACTCGGAGTGATCACTTCTAGGGCCGGCCTGCGCGGGCCGATGGGCGCGCGGAGCGGCAACGCCACGGTGCGGAGTTAAAAAAAAACTGCTCCGCTCGACGCGCCACGCAGCAGCGCGCCACGCAGCAACGCGCTCTACTCCTCACGCGGCGACGCCGCAGGGTGGAAACGATACCAGGCCACTCGATTCGCCACGCGGCAACGCACGGGAAACCAAGAAAACACTGGTTACTCGATCCCCTGTTTCTGAAAACTTGCACACTCGGACTTCTCAATTCTAAGACAGGCTTGCGCGAGCCGATGGGCGCGCGGAACGGCAAGACACGGGGTGAAAATTCGCCAGCCCAACGGGCCAAGGGCGTGCCAAGATCTCTGGTAACTGGTTAACAATATTTCTAGTTCGCGTGCGCGGGGCCTCCCCTGGGGATCCCTGGACGAAGAGTACCCCCGCAAGTCCCAGCAAGGTCCCGTCAAGATCCCAGGCAGGTCCCGGCAAGGTCCCGTCAAGATCCCAGGCCAGGTCCCAGCAGGCTCCCAAGAGCGCTCCAGGAGCGGTTCAAGTGGCCTCCAAGAGAGCTCAACATGCTCCGAGACGGTCCAAGAGCGATCCAAGACGCCAAATATTGCCTCCAGACAACCCAAAGCGCCTTCAAGACGCCCCAAGAGGCCTCCAAGAGACCTGCCAAGAGGGCCCACAGAGGCAGAAATATGTAGTTTTCTTTTGTTTCTACCTGTTCTTGGCGTTCTCGCCTTTTCGCGCCCACTCAAGACGGCCCGAGAGAGCCCCAAAACTGCCCCAAGAGGGGCCCAAGAAGGGGACCAGGAACTGAAAAGTCCAGCCTTCAGCCCCAAGATGCCCCCAGGAGGCCCCAAGAGGCCCCCAAGAGGCCCCAAGAGGCCCCGAAGGCCGCCCCCAAAGCTGTTACGAGGTGCTCTGGGAGCAGCCGACGACGGCTCCGACATCCTCCAGAAGCCTCCTGACGTCCAACACATGCCCTACTTTTAAGAGGCCGTGTGAGCATTGACAGCAGCCCTGCGATTGCGTTCAACACTATCTCCAGTCCCGAACTTCCGAGCCGAAGGTGGCTTCGGAGAGACGTAGGAAAATCCCAAGACGGCCCACAGGATCCCAGGCATCCCGAAGGCGGCCCCAGGAGAGCGCCGAAATGGTCCGAGAAGCTCCTAAGACTGCCGAGTACCATTCGAAGAGGCCCCCAAGGCGATCCCAAGGCCTGGCCAGCAGCCTCAGGGTGGTTCTGGCGAGCCTCTGCGAGAGAGCTCGCCAGCACCACCGTCCCCACTCCAGAAGAGCAGGAGGTCTCCAAGAGGACCCCAAGAGATCCCAGGAGGCCCGAAGACGAGGCCTACTAACAGCCTCCGAGATCGCCCCGAAGGAAATACAGCCATTCATCCTGACACCTCGCCGTCGCTCGGACGTCCATTCCCTGTGCACGTTTCGGTTTCACGCGTGTTGTTTTGGCCCGATGGTCGAGGGCGCTCCTCGAAAGTCCTCATCGAGAAAAACTGCACACGGCCAAGCGATGCCAAGACACCCACTCCACGCGACAGCATATGTCTTGGCGCTGCTTCCAACACGAACCCTGGGTAGCTCTACCGAGCCTACAGTCAAAACGTACAATTAGTAAGCACGCGAGGTAAAGGACGCAAGACCCTCGGAGGCGGAAGTTGGGGTTTTTAGGGCGGCGGGCGACCAGTGATAATGGCAAGGACGAGCCTCAGAGGCAAGGACACAAGGGGTACCCTAGATCTCATAATAAAAGGGAGGGGGTCTGGACCCTCCAAGACAAGCCATTTCAGACCCCCCCCCGTGGGAGAACCCTCCAAAACATCGTCCCCAGACCCCCCCAGACCCTCCAAGATGGCCTGGAAGAGACCCCCCCCTGAAATGAGACCCCCCTCCCTTTATTACGAAATCTGGGGTACCCTAGATGAAGGCGCGCGTCCTTACTGGGCGCGTTGGCTGTGCTCGGGAGAGCTCGGCAGAGCGCTGCTGCGTGCACGCGGATGCTGCGTTTGCCCGGCGGCGAGGCTCGCAATGGGCGGCCGGATGAGATCAAGGAGAGGAGTGGCCCAGCCAGGACGGGGAGGAGGAGGAGGAGGAGGAGGAGGAGGAGGCGGAGGAGGAGGAGGAGGAGGAGGAGGAGGCGGAGGAGGAGGAGGAGGACACAAGGGTACCCTAGATGAAGGCGCGCGTCCTTACTTAGGCGCGTTGGCTGTACTCGGGAGAGCTCGGCAGAGCGCTGCTGCGTGCACGCGGATGTCGCGTTGGCACGGCGGCGAGGCTCGCCGTGGGCGGCTGGGTGACATCCAAGGAGAGGAGTGGCCCAGCCAGGACGGGGAGGAGGAGGAGGAGGAGGAGGAGGAGGAGGAGGAGGAGGAGGAGGAGGAGGAGGCGGAGGAGGAGGAGGAGGAGGAGGAGGCGAGGAGGAGGAGGAGGCGGAGGCGGAGGAGGCGGAGGCGGAGGAGGAGGAGGAGGAGGAGGCGGAGGAGGAGGAGGAGGAGGAGGAGGAGGAGTCGATACGCGGCGATCAGCTTGACCTGCACACGCACTGTGCAACGTGCGCGCAGCAACTCCATCCCTCGATCATCAACGCCGAGCTTCTTGAGAAAAGCAGTCATGAGGCGACTTGATGCTCTCACTGCTCGGAGGTGGGCGCTCGGATGTCCTGGATGTTGACGACACGCTTGGCGGTGTAACATCATGGTGTTCAGTCTGCCCTGGAAGCCGCATTTTAAGTTGGACGGCGAGGGCCAATTACCGCATTCTCAACTGCAGCCACCATCATACCATCTCTGAACATTGCCACTCGCTGCTCCAAGTAGCCATGTCACAAACCTCCGATAAAGTTGAAGCCCCCAATCTTCACTTCGCCCGCACTTCCTCCACCACCCTTGCGGACATGACAGATTGCCTCATCATCATGGTCACAATCCTGCTCATCCTCGCTTCGTGCCAGGCCTTCGTCGTCGTCGTCGTCGTCGTCGTCGTCGTCGTCGTCGTCGTCGTCGTCGTCCAAGCCGTCTCCGTCCAAGCCGTCTTCGTCGGCGCCGTCACCGTGGCCGTTGTCGTCGTCCTCGTCGTCGTCGGGGCCGCCGCCGCCGCCCTAGGGTTATGTCGGGCGTGCCCCCCTACAGGGGGATCTTCGATGAAAAATAAAGAATACCCCAAAAATGCCCCAAAAAGGTCAGAAAATACCCCTAAAACATAGTCCCCAGACTATTGTTGGATTTTTTTGTTGACTACTGCTGGGGTATCTTTAATTCTTTCCGTCGAAGCTCCCCCTGTAGGGGGACAGGCCCGACTTGAATCCCAGGCCGCTCTCGTCGCCGACGTCGTCAACGCCGCCCTCGCCGCCGCTGCCGCCCCGCGGGGCAGCGCGCCGCCGCGGGCGGGTGGCCGAGGGCTCCTGCGTGGCCCGGGCGCCGGGCGGCGCCGTCGGCGGCCTGTGCGAGCCGCGGCGGCCGCCCCGACGACGACGACGACGACGACGACGACGACGACGACGACGACGACGACGACGACGACGACGACGACGACGACGACGACGGCGAGGACGACGACGACGACGACGGCGGCGGTGCTGTTGGCGGCGGCGGCGGCGGCGAGCGCCGCGTGCCGCCTGCTCCGCCCCAGCCTGCCCCATCCCCGCGGCCTCCTCTCCGCAGACATGATCGCGTCGTCAAGCGAAAAAAGCGGGACGGGAGGCTCTTCGACACCTTTGGCCACTGGGGGCCCTCGCCAGGCCCCGGGGCCGTCAAAAAGCGACTCGGGATGACGAGCAGGTCTG